AGGAAAACCCAGGAGCTATGGGTCCCACCCTCTTCCTTCTGCCAATTTCTGTGTCCCCTCTCAGAGGCTAAGTTTCAGGACTTTTCCCATTGAGCCAAAGCTTTTGAAGTTCCTCCCTTTGCCTCCATTTGTGGTGCTCCTACCACCCGGCTGTCATTTCAAGGCTAAGGCTTTACGCCTCTTCCTTGCAAACTTGAAGCTGTTAGGACTGATCTAAACTTTCAGAAAAGCAAATGGGGCAATAACTGGGTTGGGGCAGGAGTGGAATAGAGAGACAAATTGTGCCCTTAGGAAACTCAAATATTAGGAGAAGCCCAAGTCAGAACCTGTGTCCTTGGTATGCTGGCTTCCTTCATGCAGAAAGTTTTGGTTGTGAGATAGCATTCATACGTGTGATGCATCCCCCCCCCAATTCACTTGCAGCATTTGGGAGGGGGCTATTTCTGAATGATTGCATGCATGAGCTCTTATTTATGCTCTTTTCACCATGGTGCAATGTTCATCAGTGCTCTAGACATGATGGCTAAACTCTACCTCCATAGTCAGAGGCAGTAATGCTTCTAAATACCAGTTGCTAGAAGCCACAGAAGGGAGAGGGGTCTTGTGCTCACTTCCTGCTTGCTGGTTTCCCACAGGCGTCTGGTTGGCCAGTGTGAGAACAGGATGCTGGACTAGGTTTGCCATTGGCTTGATCCAGCAGGCTCTTTTTATATTCTTATTCCAACTTGGGGACCTAGTTGCCCCCACACCTCTTACCTGGGTGAGCCCAGCTGCCTGGTGCTTTTGAGAACCCCACTGCAAAGGGGCCATGGGGACAGCAGTGTTTTCTAATGTGCCAGTTCCAATCTTTCTTCTTTCCCCTCCCAGACTCGAGTGCTGTCTTTGGGCAGAAGGACAGTCCCGGAGCTCCATCCTTCCCTAGCCCCCATGAGGCATGGAACCGCTTACACCGCACACCCCCTTCCTTTCCCACCGCCCCAGCCTGGCCCAAAGGTGGGGCTGGAGATGGGGCTGAGCGTGGAGGAACCCAGCACGAGAAGGAGAGCGAGAAGCCAGAAGGGCCAGTGATCAAGGATGAAAAGGACAGGTAAGAGGTGGGACACAGAGGTGATGACAAGGGGGTCAAGGCTGTTCCTGGATGAAGAGTGAATGGAGTTTGATACAGTGGAACCTCTGTTTTTGAACGTAATCCATTCCAGAAGACGGTTTGACTTCTGAAACGTTCAAAAACTGAGGATCAATAGGCAGTCTGCAAAACCCATTAAAAACATGGAAAAACATGCAGTGGAAGCTGTTTGACTTCCGATGTGCATTCAAAAACGGAAGCAATTACTTCCAGGTTTTCGGTGTTCAGGTTCTGAATTGTTCTGCTTCTGAGATGCTTGAAAACCGAGGTTCCACCGTATTCAGGAGAGGGAGGGCAGTTGCTGCTCTTTGGGACTCTTTAGGTATGAGTGGAGTAAGAGGCAGTTGGGCCAGCCCAGTATGACAAATAAGGGGTCTGCATAGGGCTGGGTGACAGTGCCAGGTTGTGGAGAGTGACTTTTCCCGCCCCAGCACAAACTTTCTTTTCCCTGTGTATGTTTCAGAGATGCCCTCTTCTCGCGCCATCCACTGCGTGCCTCTCCAGCTACTCCCACCCCAAAGAACCTAGCATTGGCTCACGAGGAGCCCCCAGGCCGGTCACACATCCCAGCAGAGCGTGAGCATCGCTACGGAAGCCCGGCAGGTTCAGGCCACGCCTCCCGCTCCCCTTACCCAGAGCTGCCTCTGAAGAAGGAAGTGAAGGTCAAGGAGGAGCCTGAGTTGACTGGCTTTGAGGGGGCGCTGCGCACGGGGCCTCCCTTCCACAGCACCCTGCATGTTTCCCACCCCCTGGGGACGCTGGCTGTGTTTGAGAGACCCCAGACCGGAACTGGCGGAAGCGTCTCCCCATACCTGGTTGCTGCCCCGCCCTCAGCTGCCTCCTATGCTGCGCTCGAAGCCTGGCGTGAGCCCTATCACCGGGGGCTGGAGCTGCACCCGCTACAGCGCCTGCCCCGCTACCTGGAGACCCCGTCGCCTGCCGCCACTGCCGCCGAGGACTACGAGCGGGCCCGGTTATATGGCCTGGCGCCCCCACCCCACCCCAGCCTCATGGCCTATCCCCGCCACCCAAACGGGCTGCTGGCAAAAGCCACCCCTGCTGCGGCCGCCGCCGCGGCTGCTGCCGCTGTAGGACTGCTGAGCGCCCCCCCGCCTCTCATCCCTGCTTCGAATGCTCGGCCCTGCTCCCCCCGCCGTGCGCCTGACATCCGGGAACTGGCCGCCTACAAGGACCGGGACTCCAGATAATGGTGCTCTGGGACATGTGCGCACCTGTATCAAGCAGCTTCCCTTGTCTCCAGTGGACTGGTGGGGTCAGCGTGAGCCCTGGGCAGAGATACCGAGCCCCCCATCCCCTTCCTGTCAGGCAGGGATAATAGTGCAGCCTCCTGCTGCCTTAACCTGAGGAGCACCCAGCCACCCCTCCCAGAAGGACTTTCGCCTCCTTCAGCTATGAATAGTTGGAACCTCTTCCAACATCAGGTTGGGGCTTAAGAGATACGGGGTGTGATGTCTCTGTTTTAGAGGTGTTTGTGGCGGAGGGAGGGCAGGAGTCGAGGGGCTGGTGTGCCCCCGGTTTGGGGTCCCGGTTTCTTCCCAGATCCCTCTTCCTTCCAGGTTTTGTGTCTGCTTCCAGTATTCCTGCTGGGCTGAAATGACTCTGGGGCGTGTTCTTCTCCCTCAATGGACTGATGGGAAAGCTGCTTTCAGGGGAAGGGGGAGGGCTGTATCTTGGGGCACCTCCCCCTGCCAGGCAGTGTAAATATTTATATATTCTGCCCCAAGCAGGTGGGGGAAAAGGTTTTTTTGTACATTTATAAAAGGTTTGAGATTGTGATTTTAAAAGTGACTTCTCCCTCTTCTCCTGTCCTCCCCCCACAGCTCCCCTTGTTTTTACTGTACTGCTCTTTTCTATACCTGTATCCACACCCTCTCCACCTCCCGGTCCCTTTCCTCCTTCTGTAATTGATCGGAAAGGTGCAGTGAGGAGGGTGCAATGCACTTGTCCAGTGCCCCTTTTCTTCCCCAGGTTGGTTAATTAAACCCCAAACTGGTGCTTCTGGATTCCTCGGTGTGTGCGTGTGTGTCTTTGGATGGCTGGTGGGGAGGAGGGCAGGAGGAAGAGGAGGGGAAAGCACAAGACCTCTACAATCTTTCTCACTTGAATCCTGGGTGTTTAGCCCCATCTGGTGGAAGCAGGACACTATTAGATTAAAACTGAAGTTCTGGGAAAGGGAGGCTGGCACCCTGGACGAGTATAATTTTTGTAGCCCTTTAAAAGATGAAAGGGAACAAGACTTGGAGCCAAACTGTACACTGTTTGATCAAGATTCCCCCAAAAGCATCACATCTCCAGAGCAATTGTGACGGTTTGGAAGTAGGACACTGGTTTTACAGGAGGTGAAACACTTTGGCATCAACAGTGTTTTTGCTTTGGAAGAGAAATGAAAGCCTCATTTTCGTCTCCCTCTTCCCTCACCCTTTTGCTTTAGGGACAGAGTGATAAACCAGTGTGAATGGCTGCCTGAAATTGAAGGTGGGTTTTCCATTTTCCTGCCTCCACCTTTAATCCTTCCTGCACAAGTCCTAGACTTAGAGCCCAGCAGACAAAGCCCTTTCTCCAAAGCATGATCCCACACCCCAGAGGGCAACTTAAGAAATGCCCATTTAAAAGCCAACACCTGCCAGGGAGTTGGGCAAAATCAAATGGTCCAAGATACCTGCATGACAGACTTCGTAACGCCTTTGAAGTTGGGACAAAGTATGTTTTGGTCCTCTCACTTGCATTGCTATAAGCCATGCCAAGACACTAAGGTAAATTTGTGCAGGTCTACAGGTAACCCCTGCCAGTCATACCCAGAGGCTTCCCCACCCAAGTGTGGTATCTCACTTTGCTAGCCACTATTGAACACTGAGCTAGATTTGATTGTTGCTCTAAGCAGCACAAAAAGCCCTAAGGATTTCTCTTGCTACCCTAAAGGCTGGATTCTCATTATTATGAGTTGCCCTAGTATGATATATCATGCCAAATGAGAGTGGAGGAGGAAGTAGGCCACTGATGCTGCTTGTAGCCTGGTTGCTTATGGCAAGGGACCTGTCCATAATTCGCTTTCAAACCAGTAGTTGTCAGTCTTCGACACCTCTGCCACAAACACTTCCTAATGTTGAGAAAGTACACAGAAGGGGCAGACATCTCCAAATCCTGTACTGTCCTGCTATATTATAAAACTAGGTTGGCAGTGTGGAAATTGTTGTCATTGGGGAAATCCCCTGGCTATCACCAGCCTGAGATCTCCGATTCTGGAGTTTTGTTTCACATCCCTTCCAACTCCTTAGCATAAGGTTACCAGATTTTTTTCAATGAATCTGGATACACTTTTCATCTTCAATGGATTTTGTAGGGGGGCTGATTTGTAAATCCGGGGAGTGTCTCTGGGAAATGTGGACATCTGGTAACCCTACCTTAATGCCATAGGCTGTTTGGGCTTTGGTAGAATCTGGGGGAAAGTGATAAAAGATGTGGCATTACAGCCAGAAACGAGCCAGGCCGGGACTACTACCAGGTTGCACTCTTATTCTTCTCCATTCTCACTTCAAAAGCCACATCTTGTTCATTGCAACCCCTTGGAAAAAAGCGGAAAATCTCACTAAATACTGAATGGCCATGATTACATAAGTGGCATATATATTACTTGGTTTATACTCCTTGTATTTTCACAAAAGTTCTCCATTGCAGCTATTTTTTAATCTCTGTGATAAGAATAGGACGGAAGAGGTAGGTAAAATTGAAAGTTTCTTGTCTGTGAAGTTAGCTTTGTACTTTTCTGCTTCCTAGTGGTCTAAATGTTTGGTGCTGTCTCTTTCCAACCAGGAGGGAGCAAAGAATCTGGAGCGACAATGACTGGAATCCAAAATCTCTTTTAAAACCACTTTAATAAGAATGAACTTTTCTTTCCACTGCCAAGCCACAAATTTAGAGATTTTATCATGTTCTAGGAGGTGATGCAGGGATCAGTTTTGCAGAAATGACTGCAACTAGCCAAATGCTATATCCTAGGTTACTTTTATTTTTTATACATAAAAACAAACAAAAAAACCTTCCTACATGCCTGGTTCAGTTTGGACTGAGGCTCAGGTCTGAAACATGAAGTATTGGAAAAATGTAGTAGTCCTTACTCTTGCCTTTTATACTCCACTGTCTACAAATTCACAAATTGAATTGGGTGGCAAAAGCTTTTAGGAAATCAGGAATCCTGCAGTTTTCAATCTAATTTGGGATTGTGTCTCCCAGCTTTTTAAAATGGTTTTATTTTTATATTTTTAACACACAAAGATATATGATCTCTTTGGGGTGGTACAGAATTATCCAGAAGACTGAGATGGATCTCTAATGTCCAATCTTCTTGATGAGCTGTTTTGTATGATTTTTTTTTTAAAAAAACTGGTAGATCAATAAAGGTTCCCAATTGTCCAAAAAACAGAATCCCTGTAGTAGTTCATAGCAGTGATTTTTACTGTTAACTGACCTTTGTCAAATGGGAGCTAGTCCTTCAGAGTAGGCAAACTGACTCTTCCCATATTTTGTAATCAGAATATGCACTGTAACATGTAGGTTATTTAGTAAATATTGATGCTTTCATAATATGTTGCCAGAATATTCCCAATAACATAATTTCTGGTCTCAAAAGTAATACTTGTGAAAAAAGTTAAAGCAAGAGGTTTCCAAATGATAGCTGTCATTGGAAAGTAGTTATCACATATAGGAATGCTGCGGGTTTTTTTAATTGCCATGCAAACATCCCGAAGCTGCTAACTACAGTCCTAATTCAATGGGACTTACTCCCAAGTAAGTATGGCATCTTAAACTGTACATCCTCTTTAAACTCAGTGGTGTTGATAACAAAAGATAAAAATTATTTCTGGGTTGAATATCCACTGAGATTTATAGACCCCCAACACAGATTTCAACCTAGTCCCAAGTTAGGTCTATTGATTTAACTGACCTTGTTCTATGTGTGACTAAAATTGGATACCATCCTATGACAATTTATTGTATAGTGAAAATGATTTTATAAACCCTTGGTAAAAACCTTCTGAGGTGTTGTCCTCATAATACATCCTCAGGAGTTCTTCTACATATGTTTCCATTTGTTCCTTCAGAACTGGATGTCATTCATGGAATGTGTGGCTTTTTTCCTTTTATGATGAAAATAAAAGTTACCTGAAAGAAACATGTCACAGATGAAGGCATTTTAATGAATTGTTTAAAAACAGAAGAATCTAGTTCCAGCACACAATCAGCAAAGTTTGCATTTGTGTCTGCAACAAGCGGAGCTACGTACAGCAGTGATAGAGAACTAATGCTTTAGGTCATGCTAGACCTATAAAGGTAAAGGGACCCCTGACCATTAGGTCCTTTCGTGGCCGACTCGGGGGTTGCGGCGCTCATCTCGCTTTATTGGCCGAGGGAGCTTCCGGGTCATGAGGCCAGCATGACTAAGCCGCTTCTGGCGAACCAGAGCAGCGCACGGAAGCACGGTTTACTTTCCCGCCGGTGTGGTACCTATTTATCTACTTACACTTTGACGTGCTTTCGAACTGCTAGGTGGGCAGGAGCAGGGACCGAGCAACGGGAGCTCACCGTGTTGCAGGGATTCAAACCGCCGACCTTCTGATCAGCAAGTCCTAGGCTCTGTGGTTTAACCCACAGCGCCACCCACGTCCCTCATGCTAGACCTATAGTTTGACTTAAATGTAAGGCAACATTGTATGGTTATCAGTTTTTTTTAACAGCACACACACAAACTTACCAAGCTGCACTCCAATCCAGAAGTCCAAAACTTCCATGGGTTCATGCATCCTTTTTAATATCTTGGGGGGGGGGTGACGACGGATGGACACTCTCTATCGTCATCACTTATGACAGTGGGACCTATGGAAGCAGTTAACAAAAATTTTTTTTTACAATTTAAAAATGACAAATACAGAGGAATCTTGGGGAGGGGGCTGGATACATCCTGTGGGCTGTAGGTTAGCTATTCCTGCTACACAGCATAGTGGTTTAAATAAATTTAAAGTTGCCATATATTCACAATAAATTGGCTTGATCAAAGATGCTAGTACTCGATATAGCTACAATTTTGCTCAAAATCCCTGTGTGTTTAGGACTGCAGCATTAACTTGTTTATCCTTAGAATAAGTGGGAGGGTGTCCTAGCTAGCCGTTAGTATTTGTTTTTTCCACTGCAGCCAATTAGTCAATGGCAGAAATAGGACTTGAATATAGGCCTCTCACATATTAAGTCAAGTAGACATTGCATTATACAGTCTCTCTCTGTCCCCATTGTTTTATATTTGTTGGACAGGCCCAATCCTGAACCATCAAATAGAATGGAACCGAAGAGCAAATATTTGTAAACGTCACCCCCTTATTTTATTTAGAAATTAACTATGACTTATAGTTATCAAAGCAATAAATACGGTAATAAAAACATAATTAAGAGCAGGTAAAAATGAGTTTATAAGCAGGTAGCTGAAGACTTTAGCATGAACCTAAAATGTTTATTCAAAAGTAACATCTATTAAGTTCAATACTGCTAACTGTGTGTGTAGGATTATGGCCTCGACCACATGAACATGAAAAGGTCTATGCTACATCTAAAATGAAAATACTGGCTTTGAAATAACTTTCATATTTGCTTTAAATGCCAGTGAGTTTTTCCCCCCTTCCTTTGCCAAGTTAGCCAGGCCCACTTTTGCATCTAACGTCAAAATTTGGAATTGGTTCCCTTTGGAGAAATCATGATTTCAAACTCAGAACTCATTGAAGCTCTGGAGTTCCCAATGCAGATTTATCACCTGTAAAATCGGTGCACTGGAAGTTTTGAAATGAGCTCGAAATGTTGTCAGCAACGTCTTGTCAACCTCGTTTTGCGCGACGGTGCGAGCACCCTCCCATGTAAACAATACTCATTGAAACTTTCCTGACTTTCAAAGTCGCATCCGAAGTATCTGCGAGTCCTAGGGGAAGTGCATGTTTTCACGAGCCAAAGCTGCCTCTTCTCATTCATAAGCGCATCTTGTTTTGAGGACCTTCGAATAGTCGCGCCAGCCCGCCCAGCGAACAATTGGAAGAATTTTTGAGGAAAGACAAATCGAGTCCTCCCTCCCTCCGTCCGAAAGAGAGAGGGAGACTCCAACCCCCAGCATCCCCCAGGACTCCATTTCCCAGCATGCCCTTCACTCGCGATGGCCTTTCCCTCGCCCCGCGGGCTCGCAGTCCCGCATCCCGCTCTATCTGATTGTGAGGGAGAAGAGCGCCGTCTTCTGCAATTCTTCTGGCCCCCGGCCTCTCGCCGGGACGCCGTCCTCCCGCGCGACGCGCCTGTGAGACACTTTGGGTTTGAGTTTCTTTTCTCTTTCTCCACGCACGCACACCCTCCTTCGCGTTACCCGAGCTCTCGCGAGACTTGAGCGCCGAGGCCGGCGGGTGGAGGGAGCGGTGGGAGGAGGGAGGGGCTGGCCCTGGCGCTTGGTGGTGGCGGCCGCCATTTTGCCGCGGCGGGTCGGGTCTGGCTCGGCGGGGCCTGGTTAGGGATCAGCATCCGGGTGGGAGGGGTGGGCGACGTGCCGAGGAGCACCGGCGAAGGCCGCGCAAAGGGAGAAGTCGCGCGGGAGAGGCCTGGGGGCCGCGGATGGCGGCGGATTCTCTCCGGCCGAGGCGGCGGCGCTGGGGCTGAGGCGGCGGCAGGAGGAGGCGGGGCAGGAGGCGCCTCCCCTCCCTCCTCACTCCTCCCCCCTCCCACCCAGGTAAGATGGCGGACCGGCCGGGGCTCTACTCCTCTCGCTCACACCCACCTCCCTGGAAGGGTGCAAGTCTCTGCTTCGAGTCGGGAGGGAAAAGTGAGGAAACAGATAAGAGCGCGCGCGTGTGCCTGGTTGCCGGTGGTCGCGCGCGCGCGCGGCCTTTTATCTCCCCCGTCCCTTCCTCTCTCCCGTCGGTCATTTCCCTCCCCTGCCTATAGAGGGCGCACTAATGGAGTGTGGCGGGGCGGGAAATAAGAGAAAGGAGCCAATGTGGGAGCCGCACGCGCTTACCCAGCCAACGGCCGCTCTCAATGCTGGCCTATTATTACTTCACCTATCGCCCTCCTCCCCCCCCCCCGTCACCTCGTTTCCTCGCGCGCCGCGAAACCGACCAACCAACGGCCGCTTACTCCTCAGCGGGTGGGGGAGGGGCGAACGGGGATTCTCGGGGGACTAGGGAGGGAGGCGAGGGAGGGAGGGCTTTGGGGGAAACCGGGGCGGGGTCAAGGGGTCAAAGGGAAAAGGTGGGAGGGAAAGGGTGACAAAGGGGTTAAAGGGTGGGGGGAAATCAAAGGGCATCGAACTTGTGCTGAAAAAGAAAGAAACTAGGCGTCAGATCGCTTGCGATTAGGGTGCAATGAATGAATAACTGCAGGATTGCGGGTACAAGGATTGATTTTTAGCGGGGCGCAAGGGTTCTGAGAAAGGGTGGCAAGTTCAAAGGGTATTAGGGTATCATCTGGAACTTGAGCAGTTGTACAGCTCTAGGGTTTGGTTGGCTAGGGATAATACTTGAAAAGTTGGGAGTGGGTTGCAGTTACTTAGCACCATCAAAGTTTTGCAAGAAACCAGACCAGAAATAAGTGAAAGGTTAATGTGGTCATGGAGCCTGAGGAGGGGCTGGCTGAAGCTCAGGATGAAAGGAAGGGAGAGGAGGCTGTAGTGGAAGGACCTCCCAATGAGGCAGAGAGAAAGATATCTGGATTGCTTCCAGAGACAGGTGTGGGACAGGGAGAGGCTAAAGACTCAGAGACAAGTGAGGGGAAGGTTGAGGACTCCTTGGGGGCAAGTCAGGGGGAGGCAGAAGAGGCTGAAAAAGAACATGAGGCACCAGCTACTGGAGAGTTCATGGAACCAGACCTGGATACATTTGAACCCTTAGCAGGACTGGATAGGGGGGTGGCTGAGGATGCACTGAAAAGAGAAGTGGCATTAGGAATGTCTGGGGAAGAGGCTGAGGAAATTATTGAACCAGATCTGAGAAAAGCAGAAGAGTTGGAGACAGTGATTCTTGAGGAACTTCAGCTTAAGAGTAATAGAGAGAAAGAAGAAGTTGAAGAGTCAAGAGAACCAAATCAGGAGGAAACCAGTGTTTTTGGGAGCCCAGACGAGAGGGATGCTGAGGGGAAGATTGGAAAAGGAATGGATCAGCAGGAGACTCAGGAATTTGTTCATGAGGAAGAAGCACTGCTTGGAGAGGGAGAAATGGTTCTAGAAATGGGGGGAAATTGGACTGAGGAGTTGGCAGGGCCAGACCATGGGAAAGAAGAGGATTTGGTAGAAGAGGACCGTGTAGATTCTGGAGAGAGGGTTGAAAGGGGAGATGAACAGGAAAAGTTGATGGAACTGGAAGAGAGGGAAGCTGAGGCAACTGTTAGGGAAGATGAGGCAGTGGGGGAGGCTGAAAAGATGCCAGAGTCGGTGGAGGTGGGAGAGAGTGACAAAGAAGGCGAATCAACAGATAATCATGGAGAAATGGAGGAGTTGTCAGGACTGGGTCAAGGGGAGATGCTAGAGGTCACTGGAAAGGAAGAGGATGTGGCACCTGCAATTGACTATGAGGAAACTGAGAAGGTGCCAAATGTAAATGAGAGAGAGCTAGAGGAAGTGACTGCAGAGGAAGATGCAATATTAGCAAGGGGTGAGGAGGAGTTGGTAGGACTAGGTCAGGGGGAAATTGAGGTGTTGACTGGAGAGGAGGAACCAGTTTTGGGTAAGAGGGAGGTGGAGATGACAGTTGGACCAGGTGAGGAGGGACTTGGTGAGGAAATTGAAAGGGAAGACGGGGTATCTGGAGTAGATCAGAGAGAGGCTGAAAGCATGATTGTGGAAGGAGATTTGGCATCATCAGAGGGTTGGGGGGAAGTTGAAGACTCGGTGAAGTCAAGCAGGGGAGAAGCAGAGGAGGTGGCACCATCAATGGATCAAGTTAAAGCTGAAGTCCTACAAGAAGATCTGAGGGAGTCAGAGTTGGTGATTGCTGAGGGAGAGGCAGATGCAGCTGAGGAGAAGGCTGAGCATTTGGTGGTGGCAAGTCAGGGAGACGTTGAGGTTAAGACTGAAAAAGAAAGTATGGCATCAACACTGGATCAGGGATCACCAAGAATAGATGAAAAGCAGGCAGAAGAGGTGGCTGCAGAGAAAGATGTGGAATCTGTAGAAGATCAAAAGCAAGTTGAGGATTTGGCTGGGATAAGTCAGGGTGAGATTGGCAGTATGGTAGCCACAATGGAGGAAGGGGAAGATAAGAGGGAGGCAGAGGTGGCAACTTCCAAGAGAGATGTAGCATTTATTGAGGGGGAGGGTTTGGTAGTGACAAGTCAGGTAGAGACTGAGGAGGTGACTGTCAAGGAGGATATGATACACGTGGCTCTTGATGTGGCTGAGCAAGTGATAGGAGCAGCTCAGAGGGAAACAGAAAAGATGAGTGCAGTGGGTCAGGAAGAAGGAAGGGAGGAGGCGGTGGGAGCACCAGTGAGAGTAGCTGGAGCACAAGAAGAAACTGGAGGTCTGGAGGAAGAACTTGTGCAAAGTCAGGAGATGGGGGCTGGAGAAGAGGTGAAACTAGGAACTAGTCAGGAGAAAGTTGGAGAGCTAGCAGAACCAGAACAAAGGGAGACAAAAGAGCAAGTAGGACTTGATCAGGGAGAAACCAAGCAGTTGGGTTCAACTGAGAGGGTTATTAGGGAGGAATCTCGAGAAATAAGAGAGACATTATTCGGGGATCAGAGTGATACTAAGGTGCTGGTGGAACCATTTCAGGGACCAGTAGTGGAGGTTACAAGTGTAGGTGAGATTGCGTTGACTGAGCAGCATCAAGGTACTATGGGAAGAAAGGTACCCTCTCAGGAGAAGACATTAGTTTGGAGCCCAGAATTAGAAGAACAGTTGGGAGGACCAACTCAGGAGATGGCAGGCGTGCCTTCCAGGGCAAAACCAAGTGAAGAAGATACCAGAGTCACCTGGTTGGCATCTGATACGAACCTGGCCCAAGGTCAAGTGGAACCAAGCCTGAAGGTGGCTGAATTGAATAAATCAGGTTCCTCAGTGCTGTCATCACATTTGTCACAGCGCACTGCCATAGGAAGTCAAGAGGAACGTCGCAAGTTGAAGGGGAAAATAATTTCAGGGTTGGCAGGATTACGGCAAGGGCCAATACTGGTACCACATCAAGGGGCAACACGCTCATGTGGATTCCGTCGTGGAGTGCTGGAGCACAGGGCTCCAGGGTTGATTGTGACCAGTTTAACAGCAATGGCTCAGCAAAAGGGAGTGATTAAGGAGACTCGTGCGCAACTGGGAAAGGGTGAATTAGATCAGAGGGAGACACGATCAGCTGAATTGAGGTCTCGTGCAATTAGGGTTAAAGTAGGTGAGCCGGTGGTTATGATGGGGTACAGAATTGGACGGGAAGGGATGTCATGTTTCTCTGAGGCAGATAACAGGATAGAGAGCTTTCAGCAGGTTCCTGTGATGGAGGAGGCAGGAAAGGGATCTGATCAGACCCCAGCAGAACCACCGAGGCAGGAACAGATAGTTAAGGAGTTGGAGATACTGGCCAAGGATGTTGATGACAGAGCAAGGCAACATCCAGAAGGAATGTACTTGCCATGGCTTGGTAGGCCACTGACACAAGATTATTCGACAATACGACCAGGTTCTGGTTGGACTGCAGGCCTTGGGTCCGGGCATGGACTTGCTTTAGGGCCATTGCGGGCTGGAATAAAAGAACGAATAAACATGATGGTGACAGGTCAGGGAGCAGTAAAGTCAGCAGGACCAAGTCCTGAGCCACCAGTGTCTGGGATGGGAAGAAGGGTGTATGGGCTTACAAGCCAATCAGCCAACGTACACTGGCTGAAGGATGTGTTGGGATCTAAGCAGACAGTGTCTCGACTCTCTGTAACAGTTCATGGCTCAAAAGCAGGCAGTCCTGACTCTATGGCAGAGAGACGAAGTCCAGGCCTCTTAACAGGAAAGCAAGAGTTGAAAGATTGGCGGGATGGGGTAATGGGAATTGCAATTAAAAGGTACAATGCCATGAGGCGGGCAATGTGGGGCGAAGGCCCAGCTGGTTTGCATGTGAAGGGAGTGAAGGTGGCTGAAAGTCCCATTGATACTATTCCATTGAGTTATGTTAAGACTAGTTCCATTCTGGGGCAGGTTGAACAGAGGGCGCTGAGGCTGGCACAGCATGTGGAGGGTGAGGCTGTGTCAGGATTGGAAGTAGAAGGGCAGGGGCTGGCTGAGAGGCTGAAGCAGGATATGGAGCCAGCAGGGTCAGGCCAGGGAGGTAGAATTACAAGGTAACTGGGTTAAGTGTGGAGTGAGAGGGAAGGAACAAAAGGTTTGGGAGATAGTGGGTTATTTATGAGCTAGGGACAAAATTGAGCTATAGAAGCAGAGAGTTAATAGGATGCTATAGCAATAGAGTTGAGTTGCAAAATCTCAGCTTGCAGGATGAATGGGTTGTAGATCTCTCTCAAAAGAATGAAGCCAAGAAGGGAAGTAAACTTTGGGATAATGATATGAGGGTGACGTGCAGAATATTGACGCTTCTGAAGCAAAGGTGGGTACATAGGAAGCAAAATAAAAATAATTTATTATTTATACTCCACTCATCTAGCCCCAGATACTGAGAAGATTTTGGGCTCTGGATACCTAGGCATGGGAGTGAGTGAAAAGGACACTGCTAGACAACTCAGAATCCGTAAAGTGGATGGGAAAGTGAGATAATTCTCCTAGTGGTTCACCAAACCGCACCCCAAACAGGTTCCTGCCTCTTTTCATAGGCTTGAATTTGGTAGCTGGTGCGTACAGTAAAACTCTCCACCGCAACCCGTGGGCAGGCTATTCCCATGCTGTCTGCGTAACAATAAAAGAGAGACAGGGTTTGATCTACCCTTTGGCAGAGTCGTCCAGGGTCCCAAGAGCAAGTTTGAATGATCCTTACCTAAAGGAATAGGCTGCTCTGCATCTACCACACGGGCACACACACACAAAATGTTCTCTGGACTAACAGTTCCATCTTTTTTCAGGTGTAGTATTCCCCAGGAAGGCGAAACCCTGGAAGTTCAGCCTGACAAGCAAGAGGAGTTCGCAGCTCACGCAGGAACAGGTGAAATTGAATACCATTGGGGAATTGGCAACAGGGTTTTAAGCAGGAACATCAAGCAAATCTAAATCTTTGGCTGTTTTTCTGAGCTCAGTGTTGGATTTATTTTCTTTTCAAAATGCTTTTTCTGTCACCAACATCTATATTGATGGGCCAGAATTTATTATGTACTAGAATCTGGCTTGGCCACAACTAAACTTAATTTGCTTGTTGAGATATGATGGAGGGATATAAAAAGCAGCTCAAAGGAATGAAATAAAATTTACAGTATCTGTTCATAGCTCCCCTGGAAATTTTTGGAAAGTCTAGGCATTTAGTACTAAACAGTAGAATATGTATCCAGTGGAGGAAGATAGAGGAATCCTCTACTTGTAGGCAGGGTTTACATCTTTTGTGTCTAAATATTAAAGTTTTAAATGCAAACTTTGAGAGAAAACATTTTTGCACATTACCCAAACATTTATTCTGTAACAGAAAATGTTTGCTTGTGTGTACAAACTTAGCAACGGAGATTTTCTAATGCTGTTGTGTTTTTGATAGCTACTGTGCTGGATATATTAATTTTCTACTGGGTTCTGCCACCAGATCTCTTGTATATTGTAAATTGGGAGAGGCTAACCCCCAATTTGAGGGGCCTGATCCAGCTCCCAAGCAAAATTTTCTGGGCCTCCCCTGATTTTGGCAACAGCAACAAAAAAGGAAAAAAGAACCCCCCCTCCCTTCACTGTAATCATTAATCAAATCATATTTATACTCACAGCTTCTTTTTTGAAAAAAACCTAGTGAGAAATGAGATTTGATCAGCTGGGAACTGTTTGGTTTACATTTATGCTCTTTAGTTAATAGCTGCTTTTAAGGGGTGCATTACTTTCCTTCTTTAATTTTTAGTGCTTTACTTTGTGTTAAAGGAAAGTAAAATTGTAGGCAGAGGGCATGCTAATGTCATTTTGACGTTTAATTTCACTTCCTCTGAAAATCTTCCTTTAGCTTGTTCTTGAGTGGGTGTCTTTCAGTTCTTTTCAGTCTGGCTCTGATCACAATGCGACTGATGTCTCTTCATGAATCTCTAGATAATTCTGAGACAGGCAGTCCCGAGCGCAGGCTGGGCTGCCAAGGAACCCAGGAGCTGGACGGCTCGTCCCAGTGGCTGGCTGACCAGAATGAGGCCGGTTCCGAGCATGCACTGGAGCAGGAAGCCAGCACTACAACCGCAAACGAAGCTGTTGGGACGAGAGGCAAAGAGCAAGAGAGAACTAAAATGCAGAGCAGTCCTCCCCAACAGCAACATGCGCTGCACCCACAGGTAGAGTTGGAGGTGAGGGGAATCCCAGTGTAAGGCCCTGTGTTTTGAGGCCGCTTACTGGATTGCAGTGGTGCCTCGCAAGGCGAAATTAATCCGTTCTGCGAGTCTCTTTGTCTTGCGGTTTTTTCATCTTGCGAAGCACGGCTATTAGCGGCTATTAACGGCTTAGCGGCTATTAACGGCTTAGCGGCTTTAAGAAAAAGGAAACAAACTTGCAAGAACTCGCAAGACGTTTCGTCTTGCGAAGCAAGCCCATAGGGAAATTCATCTTGCGGAACGACTCAAAAAACGGAAAACCCTTTCGTCTAGCGGGTTTTTCGTCTTGCGAGGCATTCGTCTTGCGGGGCACCACTGTACAGTTTTTCAAAGCACTGTAGTTCATTAGGGTTCTTCGGGATGAATTTTGACTGCTTTAATGAAGTATGTGGATGAGCATTGTACTACCAAGACCATCTGTGAGAGTCAGAGCAAGGGATGCTCTTCTCTGATGCTCTACCTAGACAAGCTCCCCAGAGCTGTTAGGTTCCTTTCTATTGAGGCCACTATAATAATTTTCTACCCTCGTTTGTCTCCTCTTGTTCATCTCAGACTGCATCGGACAGAATGACAGGCAGTAACCCAGTGTCACCAGCCTCCTCGGGCTCACCTGCCTCAACTGGCAGCATCTCACCACCACATCTCACCCACGACTCCTCGCTGGACAGTCACCCAGGTTTTGATGTTCCCAAGACACAGAACAGAGCCCTTGTGTCGCCCGGGATGTACACCTCCCCGGACCCTGCAAGCATGTGGGACAAGACACACGCGGAGATTGCTGAGCAGGCCAAGCATGTAAGCCACACAGGGTCCAGGGATCATTTGGCCCCTTCTGCCCTCTTGAGTTGGGCATGAACATTCACAATCTAAGTTAACATTCTGTTTAGTTTTTCCTTCCAAGCTGCAGTTCACAGGGATATAATGTTTTGGGCTAACTGACTTGGGGGATGTATTCCAGGAGGCAGAGATTGAAAACCGCATCGCAGAAATGAAAAAGGAAGGGTTCTGGTCCATGAAACGGCTGTCGAAGGTGCCTGAGCCAGTCCGGCCCAAAGTGCACTGGGATTATCTTTGCGAGGAGATGCAGTGGCTCTCTGCTGACTTTGCCCAAGAGCGCCGATGGAAGAGGGGTGTTGCGAGGAAGGTGAGTTTGATGGAAGCAGCTGCCAATCTCCAAACATTTAACCCATCTCTTTCAGTCAGTTTTCACACGTGCATTCCAATCTCGGTTTAAGGGCATTTCATAATCGTGCAGTTTTGTAACACCTCAGGCTGGTGGCTTGTGCTGTTGCAGAAAAGCAATATAATATGTGTGTCCCTAGGGTTTCCATCCACTTTAGTGAAGTGGAGCTAGCTCTTCCCTACGACCCAGATTTAGGAAGGACTGTTTAGAGCCGTGGAAATCTGTGAAGACTTGTGATTATTAACATGATCCTAATCTCCTTTGTTGCTTGCAGGTGGTGCGCATGGTGATCAGACACCACGAAGAGCAGAAGCAAAAAGAAGAACGAGCTAAACGGGAGGAGCAGGCCAAGCTGCGCCGTATTGCCTCGTCCATCGCCAAAGAGGTCAAGCAATTCTGGAGCAACGTAGAGAAGGTACGTGAGGAACCTGTCTGTCATCATAAAAGCAGCATGCAGGCCTTGCTGGCCTAGCTATACTCTGAATACAGGAGCCACACCTTGAGCCAAGTGTCTGGAGCTGGTTGCCTCTACTCTGCCTAATCAAAAATACTCTGGATTCATCCATAGAAGGGTTGAGTGAATCTCTTGCCTTCATAGTTTGTTGATGGAATTTCTCTCATTCATATATGTGTATAGGTAAAAGTGTGTGTGTGTACATATATACAGTGGTGCCTCGCAAGACGAAATTAATTCGTTCCGCGAGTTTTGTCGTCTTGGGATTTTTTTCGTCTTGCGAAGCACGGTGTCGGGAAAGTTTTGGAAAAGCTTCAAAAATCACCAAAGTCTTTAAAAACCTCAAAAAAGGCTACCACAACGTGTTCTATGAGTTGCTCCTCGAAGTCAAGTCACAACTGTATTAACAGTGTTAAGAAAAAGGAAACAAACTTGCAAGACGTTTTCAGTCTTGCGAAGCAAGCCCATAGGGAAAATCGTCTTGTGAAGCAGCTCAAAAAACAAAAAACCCTTTCGTCTAGCGAGTTTTTTGTCTTGCGAGGCATTCGTCTTGCGAGGTACCACTGTATAGATATATATATATACACACACACATATACACATACATACATGCATACACACATATATGAACGATTTCATTTAGACAAAATACATGAAGCATAACAAACTAGAATTTCAAACACATAAAGCATGCAGTTAGTTGGAGGTTTTGTCTGCTATATATTTATGTTCACTCTTATTCATTCTTCACTTCTGCATTCATATTAAAAAGGCGAGGCAAATTATACTCTTGTTTATTCTCCTACAGCAGTGAAATAAATTGTTCTGCTCTGTCTCAAAACATCAGTTGCTTTTATTACTTGTAATTGGAGTTACTGTTCCAAATAACTAAATTGGGGTTTCTTGCTTTTACATGAGTAACAAAGTGCTTTTTTAATAGCTTTGAAAAATTTGCAAGGTTAAGGTTGCAGAGGAAAGAGTGGCACTGTGTGCACAGGGCTACTGAAGACTTAGAGAAGATAGTATCTCTTTGCCCATGTTGCCTTTAACTCAAGAGCAAGTTCTAGCACAGCACATTCTGCAGGAATGAACTTGGAGACTCCCCCCCCCCCAACTCTTTTTTCCTCAGGTTGTGCAATTCAAGCAACAATCACGTCTGGAGGAGAAACGGAAAAAAGCCTTGGACCTGCAGCTAGACTTCATAGTGGGCCAGACAGAGAAATACTCAGACCTACTGACCCAGAGCCTCA